AGCAGCAGCAGCAGCAGCAGCAGCAGCAGCCGCAGCCGCCGCCGCAGCCGCAGCAGCAGCAGCCGCAGCCGCAGCAGCAGCGGCCGCAGCCGCCACCGCAGCTTCCTCTGGAGCGGCGGTTGTTCCCACCTGTGAGTGGCCTGCGGGCCCTTGGCCTTTCCTCCTCTCCTCCTGTCCGCTCCCAGTCTCCTCCTGTGTTTGTTCCTCCGTTGCCTCCTCCTGACGACCGTCCGGCGGTCTGGTCTTCTCCTCCTCCCTCTGTCCGTCGCGACCTGATCACTCGTTGTCCTCCGCGTGCTCGTCACTCGTCCCCTGTTACTGACCTCCACACTGCCCTCCTTTGTTCGTCTCGTCGTCGTTCTCCTTCTCCTGTGTCCGTTCTCCCGTCTCCTCCTCCGTCCTCCCTACCAGCCCTCCCCACTCCTATCTCTGACTACTACCGCGTTGTTCGTCCTGTTGCCGCACGTGTCCTCGCCACTCTTGTCACCGACTCTCGTTTCCCTCCGTCGTCTGCCTCGGCTCTTACTGCCGCTATCGCTGAGTTTGCTGCCGCCAGCCACCTTGACTACGCCACCCGTGTGGTGCCAGCTCCTCCCTACCGTCCTCTGTCCGTCGGGGGTGGGTTTGCCCTTGGCTGTGACGTCCTAGAGGACAGAGAGTCTGAGCTGGAGTACTGGGCAGCCGCTTCTCCCTCTGTGTGTGCCATGCTGCTCTCCCCTGAGGGAGACCCCGACGCCCTTGACATACCGACTCCTCGCACTTACCGCGAGGCAGTGTCAGAGGCGTGGGCCTCTCAGTGGAAAGCGGCTATGGACTCAGAGTTGGCGTCTTGGAGATCCACAGGCACCTACGTCGACGCAGTTCCCCCTCCCAGGGCGAACGTAGTCGATGGCATGTGGCTCTTCAAGGTGAAGCGGCCGCCTGGAGCACCGCCGGTGTTCAAGGCGCGCTACGTGGCTAGGGGCTTCAGTCAGCGTGAGGGAGTTGACTTCTTCCAGACCTTCGCCCCGACCCCGAAGATGACTACTCTTCGGGTGTTACTCCACATAGCAGCGCAGCGAGACTACGAGCTGCACTCCCTCGACTTCTCCACTGCGTTCCTCCAGGGCCGACTACACGAGGAGATCTGGCTGCGCCGTCCTCCTGGCTTCACTGACACCTTCCCACCTGGGACCCAGTGGAGCCTGAGGCGACCAGTCTACGGTCTCCGCCAGTCGCCCCGTGAGTGGCACGACACTCTTCGCTCCACGCTTCGTGACCTTGGGTTCAGCCCGTCCTCCGCCGACCCGTCGCTGTTTGTTCGAGCGGGTTCTACTCCTTTCTTTATCCTTGTCTATGTCGACGACTTGGTGTTTGCTACAGCAGACAGGGCAGCCCTGGCTCAGGTGAAGTCCGAACTGCAGAAGAGACACAAGTGCACTGACCTGGGTGAGCTGCAGCGCTACCTTGGCCTGCAGATCACCCGGGACAGAGCCGCTCGCACCATCACACTGACGCAGTCACACATGGTGCAGCAGGTCCTTCGGCGGTTCGACTTCCAGTTCTCCACCACACAGCCCACTCCTCTTGCTGTTGACCACAGACTCACGGGCCCCTTTCCTGACGAGCCCTTTGAGTCCAGTGGACCCTACGCAGAGCTGGTGGGCTGCCTCATGTACCTGATGACTTGTACTCGACCGGACCTCGCCTTTCCACTCAGCATCCTTTCTCGCTTTGTTGCGACTGGGAGACACCGCCCTGTCCACTGGACAGCTGCTGTGAGGGTGGCGAAGTACCTGGCGACTACATCAGGCATGGGGCTTGTGCTTGGAGGGACTCAGCCAGTGGCGTTGACTGGTCACTGCGACTCTTCCTACGCTGACGACGTGGAGACTCAGCGTTCGACTCAGGGTTACTGCTTCAGTCTGGGAGCTGGTGCTGTATCGTGGAGGTCTACACGGTCGTCGTCTGTGGCTACTTCCAGTGCAGAGGCAGAGATCTACGCTGGTGCCATGGCGGCACAGGAGCTTCGCTGGTTGACCTTCTTGCTCGCCGACCTTGGTGAGCGGCCTCGCTCTGCACCGACCTTGTACGCTGACAACAAGGCCATGATCCTCCTGTGTCGAGAGCCTCGACTGGAGAGCAGAGTGAAGCATATTGACGTGAGGTACTTCCTCCTGCGAGAGTTGCAGCGACGCGGTCAGGCACGTTTGGACTTTGTGGCCTCACAGGCCAACACTGCCGACGTCTTCACCAAGGCCTTGGCGCCTGGTGACCACCACAGGTTCTGTGTGCAGTTGGGGCTTGTTGAGGTAGGCCCTCGGTTGCTGTAGACTTGCTGTTTGCTCTACTTGTTGTGCTTCTATATATACTAGTAAACTCTTGAACTGGCCTTGTGGCCACTTGCTTGTGCTCGGAGTGTGTGGTGACTCTGAGCGCCACCCTGAGCTTTGTTTTTTATGCTTGTTCTTGACTGGTCTTGTGACCCCTTGTTTCCGTTGGTTGTTTTGATGCCCCTCACTTAGCCTATGGGGGTGTGTCAAATGTTTATATATTCTATATATTGTTAGATAGGCTACTGTGAGTTGCCCTCTAAAGGGTACAACACTTTAGGTCGACATTTGTATCTCCTTGTCCCTCCTTACTCAAACATTACTCTCGACACTTGTCTCCTAGCCTATCTTAAGAGACCTGCCACGCAGCTGAGCTGGCACAAAACACAAACCACCACTTGGCGCGCGAGAATCTGCCGGTGCCTCCGCAACATAAATTTTCAACCTACGAATCAGGAACAATTTATTTCAAGTGCTGTGGTGCGGAGAAATTTTCGATTTCAGCACCAAAAAGTGCGATACATTACCTGTGGCAAGATATCCTCACCCACCGATTCGCCGATTTGTTGTGCTATCTGCTAAGATATCACTATTGGGCTTCTTTTTCTAGCCCGCTTCAACGGTTAACCTAAGTGGGACACAATTCATCCTGCGTGATACTGCTACAGATGGAGTGTATTCAGATATCGCAGCAGGTGCTGTGTGCTTTGCTCACGTGTTGGCATTCGCTGCCACCTCGGAGGTGGGTGTATCGAAAGGAAATTTCGAGGAAGTTTCCTCCCGATAAACTCGCATGCAGGGACCACAGAACGCATACTCTGTAGTGACAGACTCCAGAAATGGCTAACACTTAGGCCTATTACACTGAATCAGGGGCCATAAAACAATAACTCTGTGGCTCTCAGTGATGAAAATTTGACTACTCTGGAATTCCATTTTTCACAAACTGAATGGTCTGATTTGTCAGACTAATCAGACTATTTAGTCTGATAGCGTCAGCCCTGGCCTCGCTGTCACATTGCATATCCTAGCTTAACTTTGCACCATACCACTGATGCTTTTTGCTGTGTAGTGTTTGCTCGTGCCTTCGCTTACACATTGTTATCCTTTACCCCCATAAGCTCGCTCGCTTGTCTTCAATAGTACTCTTAACACTGTCCCATAGCTCTTATAATGAACAAACCTTGTTCAAGGTTTGTTATTGCCGATTATTGCACTTCTACCTAGGTCTACAGTAGTATGCGTTCTGTGGTCCCTGCATGCGAGTTTATCGGGAGGAAACTTCCTCGAAATTTCCTTTCGATACACCCACCTCCGAGGTGGCAGCGAATGCCAACACGTGAGCAAAGCACACAGCACCTGCTGCGATATCTGAATACACTCTATCTGTAGCAGTATCACGCAGGTTGAATTGTGTCCCACTTAGGTTAACCGTTGAAGCGGGCTAGAAAAAGAAGCCCAATAGTGATATCTTAGCAGATAGCACAACAAATCGGCGAATCGGTGGGTGAGGATATCTTGCCACAGGTAATGTATCGCACTTTTTGGTGCTGAAATCGAAAATTTCTCCGCACCACAGCACTTGAAATAAATTGTTCCTGATTCGTAGGTTGAAAAATTATGTTGCGGAGGCACCGGCAGATTCTCGCGCGCCAAATGGTGGTTTGTGTTTTATGCAAGCTCAGCTGCGTGGCAGGTCGCCCAGTTGGCACTTGCAAAGTTGCGCCAAATCGAGCCAATGTTGCAACAGTCCTTCTCGCCCTTGAAGCTCACCGACAAACCAGAAGGAAAAACAAAAAAAAAAAAACGCGACTCTGAAGTCATTTCCTCAACACTGAAGGACCAGAGTTGTGTTTTTTTCAAGCCTGATTTCTTTTAACACGCTCAGAGTGGCCATTTTGCGGCCGAAGTGCCGTCAGAGTAGAAAAAAAATTTGCGGGTCAAAAACAGGGAGGCGTTTTTTGAAACGTCAGCCCTGAGCGAGGCTCAGGGTATAGGCACCATCTGCAGGCTCAGCCTTATACAGCGGAGCAAGCTTTTGGTGAAGGCGTAGGTGACTTATGAGTCGACTCAAAAGTCACCTCAACATTGGCAGGCTCAGCCTCTCAGCCTCTCAGCCTCTCAGCCTTATACATCGGAGCAAGCTTTTGGTGAAAGCATGCGCGCTTGATTCCGTTTTGAGGCGCCTCAAAGCGAGGCTCAGGGTATAGGCACCATCGGCAGGCTCAGCCTTATACAGCGGAGCAAGGTTAGGTGCATGCATGCGTGCTGGATTCAGTTGGCATGGCGATCCCTCCATGGATGAGGATCTCAATTTGTTGAGAACCTTGCAGATGGATGGAGTTGTGAGACAACTCGAAACTCAAACTTCTATCACGTGGTCCTGTGGCCGAGAAGAGGGTTTCGTTGGGGTAAACAATAGCAGGCAGGGGGTAGCTAGCAAGCAATCCTAAATCAGCTTCCCACAACTGATAGGGGCAATAAACAGATCAGCTATGGCTGATCCAATCGCAGCAGCACAGACGTCATAGCATCAGCTTTATGCAACGTATAGGGGAGGTTCGAGAACAGCTATATACAAAATTGTACAGTGTATGGGTGAATTTCAAGAACAGCTAGATGCAACCAAGTACCTACATGCCATGCTGAATTTCAAACCACCTGCGTTCAAGCTGCCATGTTGTTTTCATGTCACCATGGCTCATGTCTCCATGCTGCCATTCTGCTATGCTGCCATTCTGCTATGCTGCCATTCTGCTATGCTGCCATTCTGCTATGCTGCCATTCTGCTATGCTGCCATTCTGCTATGCTGCCATTCTGCTATGCTGCCGTTCTGCTATGCTGCCATTCTGCTATGCTGCCATTCTGCTATGCTGCCATTCTGCTATGCTGCCATTCTGCTATGCTGCCATTCTGCTATGCTGCCATTCTGCTATGCTGCCATTCTGCTATGCTGCCATTCTGCTATGCTGCCATTCTGCTATGCTGCCATTCTGCTATGCTGCCATTCTGCTATGCTGCCATTCTGCTATGCTGCCATTCTGCTATGCTGCCATTCTGCTATGCTGCCATTCTGCTATGCTGCCATTCTGCTATGCTGCCATTCTGCTATGCTGCCATTCTGCTATGCTGCCATTCTGCTATGCTGCCATTCTGCTATGCTGCCATTCTGCTATGCTGCCATTCTGCTATGCTGCCATTCTGCTATGCTGCCATTCTGCTATGCTGCCATTCTGCTATGCTGCCATTCTGCTATGCTGCCATTCTGCTATGCTGCCATTCTGCTATGCTGCCATTCTGCTATGCTGCCATTCTGCTATGCTGCCATTCTGCTATGCTGCCATTCTGCTATGCTGCCATTCTGCTATGCTGCCATTCTGCTATGCTGCCATTCTGCTATGCTGCCATTCTGCTATGCTGCCATTCTGCTATGCTGCCATTCTGCTATGCTGCCATTCTGCTATGCTGCCATTCTGCTATGCTGCCATTCTGCTATGCTGCCATTCTGCTATGCTGCCATTCTGCTATGCTGCCATTCTGCTATGCTGCCATTCTGCTATGCTGCCATTCTGCTATGCTGCCATTCTGCTATGCTGCCATTCTGCTATGCTGCCATTCTGCTATGCTGCCATTCTGCTATGCTGCCATTCTGCTATGCTGCCATTCTGCTATGCTGCCATTCTGCTATGCTGCCATTCTGCTATGCTGCCATTCTGCTATGCTGCCATTCTGCTATGCTGCCATTCTGCTATGCTGCCATTCTGCTATGCTGCCATTCTGCTATGCTGCCATTCTGCTATGCTGCCATTCTGCTATGCTGCCATTCTGCTATGCTGCCATTCTGCTATGCTGCGCTGCCATTCTGCTATGCTGCCATTCTGCTATGCTGCCATTCTGCTATGCTGCCATTCTGCTATGCTGCCATTCTGCTATGCTGCCATTCTGCTATGCTGCCATTCTGCTATGCTGCCATTCTGCTATGCTGCCATTCTGCTATGCTGCCATTCTGCTATGCTGCCATTCTGCTATGCTGCCATTCTGCTATGCTGCCATTCTGCTATGCTGCCATTCTGCTATGCTGCCATTCTGCTATGCTGCCATTCTGCTATGCTGCCATTCTGCTATGCTGCCATTCTGCTATGCTGCCATTCTGCTATGCTGCCATTCTGCTATGCTGCCATTCTGCTATGCTGCCATTCTGCTATGCTGCCATTCTGCTATGCTGCCATTCTGCTATGCTGCCATTCTGCTATGCTGCCATTCTGCTATGCTGCCATTCTGCTATGCTGCCATTCTGCTATGCTGCCATTCTGCTATGCTGCCATTCTGCTATGCTGCCATTCTGCTATGCTGCCATTCTGCTATGCTGCCATTCTGCTATGCTGCCATTCTGCTATGCTGCCATTCTGCTATGCTGCCATTCTGCTATGCTGCCATTCTGCTATGCTGCCATTCTGCTATGCTGCCATTCTGCTATGCTGCCATTCTGCTATGCTGCCATTCTGCTATGCTGCCATTCTGCTATGCTGCCATTCTGCTATGCTGCCATTCTGCTATGCTGCCATTCTGCTATGCTGCCATTCTGCTATGCTGCCATTCTGCTATGCTGCCATTCTGCTATGCTGCCATTCTGCTATGCTGCCATTCTGCTATGCTGCCATTCTGCTATGCTGCCATTCTGCTATGCTGCCATTCTGCTATGCTGCCATTCTGCTATGCTGCCATTCTGCTATGCTGCCATTCTGCTATGCTGCCATTCTGCTATGCTGCCATTCTGCTATGCTGCCATTCTGCTATGCTGCCATTCTGCTATGCTGCCATTCTGCTATGCTGCCATTCTGCTATGCTGCCATTCTGCTATGCTGCCATTCTGCTATGCTGCCATTCTGCTATGCTGCCATTCTGCTATGCTGCCATTCTGCTATGCTGCCATTCTGCTATGCTGCCATTCTGCTATGCTGCCATTCTGCTATGCTGCCATTCTGCTATGCTGCCATTCTGCTATGCTGCCATTCTGCTATGCTGCCATTCTGCTATGCTGCCATTCTGCTATGCTGCCATTCTGCTATGCTGCCATTCTGCTATGCTGCCATTCTGCTATGCTGCCATTCTGCTATGCTGCCATTCTGCTATGCTGCCATTCTGCTATGCTGCCATTCTGCTATGCTGCCATTCTGCTATGCTGCCATTCTGCTATGCTGCCATTCTGCTATGCTGCCATTCTGCTATGCTGCCATTCTGCTATGCTGCCATTCTGCTATGCTGCCGTTCTGCTATGCTGCCATTCTGCTATGCTGCCATTCTGCTATGCTGCCGTTCTGCTATGCTGCCATTCTGCTATGCTGCCATTCTGCTATGCTGCCATTCTGCTATGCTGCCATTCTGCTATGCTGCCATTCTGCTATGCTGCCATTCTGCTATGCTGCCATTCTGCTATGCTGCCATTCTGCTATGCTGCCATTCTGCTATGCTGCCATTCTGCTATGCTGCCATTCTGCTATGCTGCCATTCTGCTATGCTGCCATTCTGCTATGCTGCCATTCTGCTATGCTGCCATTCTGCTATGCTGCCATTCTGCTATGCTGCCATTCTGCTATGCTGCCATTCTGCTATGCTGCCATTCTGCTATGCTGCCATTCTGCTATGCTGCCATTCTGCTATGCTGCCATTCTGCTATGCTGCCATTCTGCTATGCTGCCATTCTGCTATGCTGCCATTCTGCTATGCTGCCATTCTGCTATGCTGCCATTCTGCTATGCTGCCATTCTGCTATGCTGCCATTCTGCTATGCTGCCATTCTGCTATGCTGCCATTCTGCTATGCTGCCATTCTGCTATGCTGCCATTCTGCTATGCTGCCATTCTGCTATGCTGCCATTCTGCTATGCTGCCATTCTGCTATGCTGCCATTCTGCTATGCTGCCATTCTGCTATGCTGCCATTCTGCTATGCTGCCATTCTGCTATGCTGCCATTCTGCTATGCTGCCATTCTGCTATACCACCATGCCACCATGCTCTCATGCCATGCTCTCATGCCATGCTCTCATGCCATGCTCTCATGCCATGCTCTCATGCCACGCTCTCATGCCATGCTCTCATGCCACGCTCTCATGCCATGCTCTCATGCCACGCTCTCATGCCATGCTCTCATGCCACGCTCTCATGCCATGCTCTCATGCCACGCGCTCACACCATCATGCCAGGAACACGGAAGCAGCCTGTGTGTTGAGCCAGAGGCGCAGGTCCTCCCTGTCGACACACAGCCCCTGCAGCGCGCTCGTGCCATGCAGCGTCTCTCCCTTCAGCCCCAGCGCCTGCAGCATTGCCTCCATCGTCCCTTGGAGGTCTGGGCATGGCTCCTGTGGTGGAGCCTCGTCCGCTGCTTGCGACTGAACAAAGAGAGATGGCAGATGGGCAATTGAAAATGGGAGATGGGAGATGAGAGATGGGAGACAAGGGATGGGAGATGGGACATTCGAGATGTATGCTGTGAGGGAAAAGACGTTAAAAAGTCAAGTGCGTATAACACAGCACGTGGCAAGCATTTCCTTGCCTTGCCTTGAACTCTACTGCAGGTAGACCAGCATGTGATCACATAGTTAAGACACAATGACACCATAAGCCACTATGTGCATAGAATGACTTTTGGGACGTCTCAAAAGTCGTAGTTTTGTCACCACGGCATCATGTGCATGAAATGTCATGCACACGCGTTGCAGCGCAACAACAAAATCCCTGGGCACGTAATGATCTGATCGGTGCGAGCTGCAAGCCCCATCCATTCACAACACAAAATGCCATGCCCCACCCACCTGTGCGTGCAATGTGTGATAAGTCGATTTTTGAGTCGACTCAAAACTCGGCATGTAATGATCTGATTGGAGCAGCATGCAAGCCCCATTCATTCACAGCAACGGAATGCCATGCCCCACCCACCTGTGCGCGCAATGTTGCTGATGTGACGGTAACCAGGTTGCGCAGCAATGCGGCATCACAACCAATCAACGAGAAGGCGGGGCGCAGAAGCAACGTTCTGAGGCGCCTCACAAGACACACATCACCCACCTGTGCCTGCAAGGTTGCCGTGACAATAACCAAGTTCTGCAGCGACGAGGCATCATTAGAGCCAGCAGTGGAGGAGGAGGCGAGACGCAGAAGCAGCGAAAGCAGCGCCGCAGCCGCGACAGGGCGAGTGCAGTCGACCACGTAAAGCCTGAGAGGGTGAATTGGCGGGCCAAGGAAGTTCAGGTACTTAACAGTCGGCACAACACCTGAGAGGCGTGAACTAATGGGTGGAAAGTTGGAATGTACAAGAAGGGGCATAAAGAAATGCCACCAAACAGGTTATGTGTGGAGCTTTGGGGAACTCATGAGAACTCACACGCACCATCAAGCACATGGGAACAGCTATTGTAATGATCTCTCATTGAACTTACGTGAAAGGATCTGCAGTCAAAGCCGGGGGAAAGACACCCTTAGCTGCTGCCTCTCTGAAGATCGACACTGCTGCTTGTAGCGCTGATAGGCAGGTGAGGGAAAGGGGGGGAGACAGAGCGAGAGAAGGGGATGGATGAGCACATGCGAGCATGGGATCAAGGAAGGGGAGAAAGGCCAGACCCACGCTTTCTATGAATTGACTGACACTGTTGCTTGCAGAGCTAGCGACAGAATTGGGAGCGACAGTGAAGGAGGAGAAGGGTAGATGTGAGCATGCGGACACAAGGAAAGCAGTGAAAAATCACATGTTTTCACGTGCGCATGACGGCAGCACTGACAAATCACAGGACTACACAAACGCAACACACATGTGCCAATCACGTAGGAACAGAAAGAATCTCCCTCATCCCCGCTCCGCGTCATCTAATCTCATGCCAATCTAACCTGGAGTGAACTTGAGCGTTTTCCCCTCCTGCATCGCGTCCCATATCACAGGATCAGCTCCGTCCGGCCCGAAGCAGGCGTCAAACAGCCGAGTGTAGGTGTCCATTGACGGCTGGTGCGGGTGCTGGTGGAATAGAGGGGGGCCCGGGGAGAGGGAAGGAGCGGGAACGTGGGCGTTTTGAGGCGTCGTAAAGAGGGAAGGTGGGCGTTTAGCCTCCATGCACCGCGTCTCATATGGACGTTCAACTCAATAGGTAAAGGCTTACCTCCATCTCGCCCTTCGTGCTGCCTTGCATCTCTTTAAACGTCTCCACAGCCGCCTCCCACTCCCCTGCCCTGCCCTGAGCATTGATGAGCGCGGTATACACCACTGCTGTGACCTCCACTCCGCCATCCTCCATCTCCCTCCTCAACGCGATCGCCCGTGCTGCATCGCCATCCCTGGCACACACTGCCATGAGCCCCTGGTACGTTGCCTCGTCTGGTTCGGGACCCCACCGCTGCATGCCATCGTAGCACTGCCATGCCACAGAAGAAACGGTGATGAAAGTGAAAGGGCAGTGTCTTGCAAGGGGCAAAAACCAACTGAGATTGATTGGCGAACTTCGCATGGCACCACAGCATTCTCACGACAAGGCTGTCTGTCTGTGTGAGGCTTAAAGGCTTTAAGGAAAATGTGATATAGTTTAGAACACAGACAGCCTTTAATGTAAAGGATCTGCTCCCCAAGCCACCTCCCTATTCCTCCTCCCTCCTCTTCCTTGTGCTCACCCCGTAAGCCACGTAGGCAGGGGCGGAGGGCACGGCAGCCACGGCGTGGATGAGCTTGTTCCAGAAAGGCGGGTCCAAGTCGCGTGCAAACCCACTCGCTGACATCAGCTTGTACGCTCGCAACGCCCCCTCAGGATCCCCTGCCTGGAGAAAGTGGGGGAGAGATGGTGGTGAAAGAGTTATATGACATTCTTTTGTGAACTAAAGTCTAGTTTAATGATTTTTAAGTCGAGATAGTGCTTAGCTGGCAAACGGCCGGCTGGAAACAGCACGTGAAGGCTGGCTGCAATGACCAGTTGAGTGTATATGCATCAAGACTGCCTTTCAGGTGTCTTTTGAATGCATACACTTCAGACCATACAGTGAAGCAATCATCTGGGCAGGTGAAATAATGCTACAACGAATGCAGATGAATCGCACCTCAAGGCTTGCTGCAATGGCCAGGTTGAACGTTTCTGCATCGGGACTGCCCTTCTCGATAGCTTCCATCAAGAGCTCACGACCCCATGCCGTATCCTCCTGCAGCGAAAGAAATGGATCATGTGGACAAGCATTGCGGAGAATTAGACTAAATGAGCAAGATGGCATTACCAGAGCCACGGTGGGAGGACAGCGAGTCTATTTCTACATTACGCTATACCTGGTAAGGTAAGCGAGTAAAGGGAGCACATCAGTTAACAGGCCTTACATCAGTCAACAAGATCGCTTTTGCTTGCATTTCCTTGAGTGACTCCACAGCTGCCTCCCACATCCCCGCCTGGCGCTGCATGGCCATGAGCGCACGGAGCACTTCCCCCGTCACCTCCACTCCGCCATCTGCCACCTCCCTCCTCAGCGCAGTCGCCCGTGCTGCATCGCCTTTCTCGATGGCTTCTGTCAGGAGCTCGCAACCCCATGCCTTTTGCTCCTGCGGTGGAAGAGAGTTGAAATGCGGTTGTGAGACAACTACAGGAGCCACGGACGCGGGACGGGACCCCGAACAAAAAAAAAAAAAAAAAAAAAAAAAAATGCATCAAAAGAAGAAGCGAAAGCCAGAACCAGTATCAAAGTCTTGGCTTCAAAAGAAGTCTGGATTAAACATACGCACACAGAAGAAGCATATTGGCTACCAGGCCTCACATCAGTGCACAGGGTCGCCTTGGCTTGCATCTTCTAAAGTTTGTACATGAATGCATGCATGAATGCTTACATCAGTCGAGAGCACAGCCTTTGCTTGCATCTCCTTCAGAGTCTTCACAGCCGCCTCCGACAGCCCTGCCTGGCGCTGCATGGCCAGGAGCGCATGAAGCACTGCTGCTGTCACCTCCACTCCACCATCCTGCATGTCTTTCTTGAGAGCCATCGCCCGTGCTGCATCGCCATCCCTGGCACACACTGCCATGAGCCCCTGGTAGGTTTCCGGGTCTGGAGTGGGACCCCATCTCTTCATGCCCTCGTAGCACTGTTGCGGAAACAAAGACAGTGACGAGGCGAGGAGTAGAGTGAAGGCGAGGAGGTGGTGGAGTAAACTTTTGCGTCGACTCAAAAGTCAACGCGGAAACAAAGACAGTGGCGAGGAGTAGAGTGAAGGTGAGGAGGTGGTGGAGTAGATCAGCAGCAGGTGACGACTAGTAGATCAGCAGCAGGTGACGACTAGTAGATCAGCAGCAGGTGACGACTAGTAGATCAGCAGCAGGTGACGACTAGTAGATCAGCAGCAGGTGACGACTAGTAGATCAGCAGCAGGTGACGACTAGTATATCAGCAGCAGGTGACGACTAGTATATCAGCAGCAGGTGACGACTAGTAGATCAGCAGCAGGTGACGACTAGTAGATCAGCAGCAGGTGACGACTAGTAGATCAGCAGCAGGTGACGACTAGTATATCAGCAGCAGGTGACGACTAGTATATCAGCAGCAGGTGACGACTAGTATATCAGCAGCAGGTGACGACTAGTATATCAGCAGCAGGTGACGACTAGTAGATCAGCAGCAGGTGACGAATAGTATATCAGCAGCAGGTGACGAATAGTATATCAGCGGCAGGTGACGACTAGTATATCAGCAGCAGGTGACGACTAGTATATCAGCAGCAGGTGACGACTAGTAGATCAGCAGCAGGTGACGACTAGTAGATCAGCAGCAGGTGACGACTAGTAGATCAGCAGCAGGTGACGACTAGTAGATCAGCAGCAGGTGACGACTAGTAGATCAGCAGCAGGTGACGACTAGTAGATCAGCAGCAGGTGACGACTAGTAGATCAGCAGCAGGTGACGACTAGTAGATCAGCAGCAGGTGACGACTAGTATATCAGCAGCAGGTGACGACTAGTATATCAGCAGCAGGTGACGACTAGTATATCAGCAGCAGGTGACGACTAGTAGATCAGCAGCAGGTGACGACTAGTAGATCAGCAGCAGGTGACGACTAGTAGATCAGCAGCAGGTGACGACTAGTAGATCAGCAGCAGGTGACGACTAGTAGATCAGCAGCAGGTGACGACTAGTAGATCAGCAGCAGGTGACGACTAGTAGATCAGCAGCAGGTGACGACTAGTAGATCAGCAGCAGGTGACGACTAGTAGATCAGCAGCAGGTGACGACTAGTAGATCAGCAGCAGGTGACGACTAGTATATCAGCAGCAGGTGACGACTAGTAGATCAGCAGCAGGTGACGACTAGTAGATCAGCGGCAGGTGACGACTAGTAGATGCAGCAGGTGACGACTAGTATATCAGCAGCAGGTGACGACTAGTAGATCAGCAGCAGGTGACGACTAGTAGATCAGCAGCAGGTGACGACTAGTAGATCAGCAGCAGGTGACGACTAGTAGATCAGCAGCAGGTGACGGCTAGTAGATCAGCAGCAGGTGACGACTAGTAGATCAGCAGCAGGTGACGACTAGTAGATCAGCAGCAGGTGACGACTAGTATATCAGCAGCAGGTGACGACTAGTATATCAGCAGCAGGTGACGACTAGTATATCAGCAGCAGGTGACGACTAGTAGATCAGCAGCAGGTGACGACTAGTAGATCAGCAGCAGGTGACGACTAGTGTATCAGCAGCAGGTGACGACTAGTAGATCAGCAGCAGGTGACGACTAGTAGATCAGCAGCAGGTGACGACTAGTAGATCAGCAGCAGGTGACGACTAGTAGATCAGCAGCAGGTGACGACTAGTAGATCAGCAGCAGGTGACGCCTAGTAGATCAGCAGCAGGTGACGACTAGTAGATCAGCAGCAGGTGACGACTAGTAGATCAGCAGCAGGTGACGACTAGTAGATCAGCAGCAGGTGACGACTAGTAGATCAGCAGCAGGTGACGACTAGTAGATCAGCAGCAGGTGACGACTAGTAGATCAGCAGCAGGTGACGACTAGTAGATCAGCAGCAGGTGACGACTAGTAGATCAGCAGCAGGTCTGACAAACAGACGAGTTATGTAAGGGCTGTGAAGGACGGCAAAGAGTTAGAAAGCAGGATAGGTGGGCAAGGGAGGAGGTAGCCTTGAACCTGAAACGAAGAAAGATAGCGATGGGCAGTAGATGGGCCAATGATTGCTAATGACCGGCACTGGCCCAATGCACTCTACATGTATTACAAAGCACCCTATCAGCCTCACTCACCCCATAGGCCACGTAGGCAGGGGCGGAGGGCACAGCAGCCACGGCGAGGATGAGCTTGTTCCAAAAAGGCGGATCCAAGTCACTCGCCAAGCCATTCGCCGACATCAGCTTGTACGCTCGCAACGCCCCCTCGTGATCCCCTGCCTGGAGAACCAACCAGAGAGGGTTACGGGTTGGGTAAGGCTATAGAGAGGGGGACACACTTATGAGATGTCCCAATGAAAGACTATCAACAACAGCCTTAACCTCGCCTGCAGGTTGATTTCAATCAGCAGGTTAAAGAACTCTGCACCGGAACAAATGCTCACAACAGCCTGCACCAGAGGCTCTGAAGCATTGACTTTGACTCCTCTCAAAAGCTATCAAGCCTGGACAATCTTCACCTCTCACACACCTACAGGTGGATTTCAATGAGCAGGTTCAACTCCTGAGCATCAAACAGCCGTTCTTCACAGCTTTCATCAAGAGCTGCAGCACTCGCTGACTATATCAGTCAGATGTCCCAATAAAAAAAATGCCGACAGGCTTCACCTCGCTCGCACTCACCTGCAGGCTGATTCCAATGAGCAGGTTGAAGAGCTCTGCATCCGTTTTTGTGTCGACTCAAAAACAGATTCCAGTGGGCAGGTTGAAGAGCTCTGCGCCTGTTTTTGTGTCCGACTCGAAAACAGATTCCAGTGGGCAGGTTGAAGAGCTCTGCGCCTGTTTTTGTGTCGACTCAAAAACAGATTCCAGTGGGCAGGTTGAAGAGCTCTGCGCCTGTTTTTGTGTCGACTCAAAAACAGATTCCAGTGGGCAGGTTGAAGAGCTCTGTATCGGAACAGCCACTATCAGCAGCAGCCATCAAAAGCGGAAGACTTCATTGGCGCATTTGAGGCGCCTAAAAAAAAAACCATTGGCGCTTCAGATGTCTCAGTCAAAAGCCTACCAGTAAACCTTCAACGCACCTGCAGGCAGGTTTCGATGAGGAGGTTGAAGACCTCTGGGTCGACACAGCCACTCTCAGTAGCCTCTGATAGGAGCTGGAGCACTGGAGGAGGCGTGTCTGCCTGCAATGGAATGGAAGGGACGATCCGGGTACACAGCAATAGATTTTTCAGTCTACTCAACATACAACCACTCTCAACTGCCTCTCACAGGAGCTGGAGCACGGGAGGAGACGTGTCTGCCTGCAATGGAATGGGAGGGACGATCCAGGTAGACAGAAATTTTGAGGCCATGAGAAACAACTTGACACTCTCAGGTGGAGGAGGACAAAAGGCATGGCACAGTGTGACAGTGTCCCGTCCTTGTTTCGTCCCATCACCCACATCAATAATGTGAGAATGGTGGAGCGGAGCGATAGCCAAGAAATGACTTTTCAGACGTCTCGAAACTCAACCAAAAAGCACACCAGCAACAATTTGCCTCTGTTGAGCTTGCCTCGTTTGCAGCGTCAGCAGGGGTAGACGGTGCAATCACGGTCCTCGCAAATTGGGTGAGCTTGCTCCAGAAAACCGGACTCAATTCATGTGCCAAGCCATTTGCTGCCATCAGCTTGTACGCTCGCACCGCCCCCTCGTGATCCCCTGCCTGCAGAGGGCACATGGTGTGAGGGAGCGGAGCGGATGTGAGAGGGAAAAGAACAGGCAGTGGACACTCAGTTGCTGCCATCAGCTTGCACGCTCGCACCGTCCCCTCGTGGTCCCCTGCCTGCAGAGGGTGAGGGAGGGGACACACACGCACGCGGCGCGCACATGAGTGTTTGTGTTTGTCCGTGTGCGGTTCAGGGTGAGGGAGGGGATGAGACGAGTGACAAGTGGAGTAAGACGCACAATGGGAAGCCGGCAAAAGGGAAGAGAGAGAGGAAATGCCTTTTAAAGGAATTCTGCAAGGTTGATTTTGCACCAAAAAGAAAGAAAGAAAGAAAGAAAGAAAGAAAGAAAGAAAGAAAGAAAGAAAGAAAGAAAGAAAGAAAGAAAGAAAGAAAGAAAGCGACCTGAAGGAAAAGGAACGTTCTAGTGGCCATTGAGGCGCATAAAGAAGTGTATCAAAAGTTCGTGACACCTCAAAATCTCTACCTTTGAATTTTCCAACACACACACACCTCTACACTTGCTTCAATGAGAAGATTGAGGGTCTTCGCATTAGGGCGAACTTTCTCAGCAGCTTCCTTCAGGAACTCACGACCCCATGCCGCATCCTCCTGCAGTGAAGGACAAATTTCAAATAAACTGGTGATTTAAAAGGTGGATGAAGTGAAGGAAAGTAGCGTGCGAAAGAGATCGATGAGAGCAAGGAGACTAGATTTATAATAAGATCCAGATAGCCTCGTCCAGCAACGATAGGCGAAAGCACCTCCTGCAGCTTCCCTCAGGGCTGAGAAGAGTACTCACAAGCATGCAGCAACTACCTCTAACAAACTAGCAGCATATGGCATACACACACACATCAACCAGTGCTCACATCGGTTGAGAGCACCGCCTTGGTTTGCATCTCTTTGAAGGTTTCCACAGCGGCCTCCCACATCCCCGCTTTGCGTTGCATGGCCATGAGCGCACGGAGCACTTCTCCCGTCACCTCCACTCCGCCATCCTCCATCTCCCTCCTCAGTGCCATCGCCCGTGCTGCATCGTCATCCCTGGCACACACTGCCATGAGCCCCACGTACGTGTCTAGGTCCGGCTTGGGTCCCCATGTTTGCAATGCATCATAACACTGTGGGACAGAATGGGAGGGGAGGCGGAGGAGGAGTAGACTCAGAACAGTGGGGGAAGGCACGAACCTTCAGGTTGATGAGAAGGATGAAGCCAAGAGGGAGAAAAGACAATTCAGTGACATTTTCGTGGGTTCAGTTGGTCCATCTCCCGGAAACATACCAAGCTGGCATATGGCAGTTCCGAAGACCGAGGACAAAGTTTTGTTCCAGTATTGCCTGGAAACAGAAGGCTAGTTTTGCCTTCTAGAAAAGTAGATACAAATAAGTAAGCAACGGAACGGCCACAATGTATACGAGAATCAAGCCCTCGTGCTCTGCTCACCCCGTAGGCCACGTAGGCAGGGGCGGAGGGCACGGCAGCCACGGCATGGATGAGCTTGTTCCAAAGCTCTGGCTCCAAGTCACGTGCAAACCCACTCGCTGACATCAGCTTGTATGCTCGCAACGCCCCCTCGTGATCCCCTGCCTGGCGAGGGAAGTGCGGTAACGGAGGGGGACACAAGTGGGGAAACTTTAGCACGACACTCTTTGGCCGTGCAGTGAGGTGTCTTCTGAGGCGCCTCAAAAGACACCTAACTTAGCAAGACACTCTTTGGCCGTGCCTTCCTGACATTTTCCAATATAATGAAAAACAGCACCTTGAGATTGACGCCAATGAGGATGTTGAATGTTTCGGCATCGGGTCGGGCATTCTTGTCCGCTTCCAGCCCGTGATAGAGGCGCCACGCCATTTCAAGTTGAACCTGAACCTGCTCAGTTGAAGTTTGCTCAGTTGAAGTTTGCTCAGTTGAAGTTTGCTCAGTTGAAGTTTGCTCAGTTGAAGTTTGCTCAGTTGAAGTTTGCTCAGTTGAAGTTTGCTCAGTTGAAGTTTGCTCAGCTTGAACCTGCCAGAATAAGAAGATGGGTTACAAGAAGAGAACAGTCAGCGAGATTTAGAGTTTTAGATGGTCGATGGAGACGGCAGGGCAGGGCGGGGCAGGGCAGGGCAGGCCGGAAAAGCCTTGTTACACCACCAAATGCCTAGAAATTGCCTTGCCATGGCAGATATTGTATAACATCACTCAATCCATGCAACTTAATTTTAGATGATACATACATCAACTCTTCAAGGAGGAGAAAAAAAGGGGGCCGGGGGATTGGAGGAGGAACATAGGAAGGGAAGGATTGGGATAAGGGAGCGAGGGAAGGAGGGAGGGGGGACGAGTGAAGAGGTGGGAGATGTGTGTCGACTCAGATCAAGGTGTGAAAACTAGAACATCTATCAACATATAGGTTGTGGCACATTCATCCCGAACCGAAGGGAGTCGGCAGAGGAGAGGGAGAAGAGGAAAGGGAAGGAGACGGCATCATGTGAGCCAACTCACATTCGCTTGTGAATCACTAGCAGCACACAGATCAATGAATTTGTTGTAATAGAGAGTGGTGCTGGAAAGAAAATCTTCCTCTTCATCCTCGTGATTCTCTTGATCCTCCCAACCAGCAGAGTCCAGTAAGATCTACGCACGGGAGCCAAGGGACGGAAAGAAGGAATGAAATAGGAACGCATATGGTATTCGACTCACAAGTCACCTCGGTTGGCACATGAGATGAGATAACAGGTAACTGGAGCATGGAGCATCAACGCACACAAGGTATCTACAACATTTTGGAGTTACTACAGTTGAAATAAAAACTATGCATGGTTACAAACCTTTTGACAACAACTCGCATCGTCCCTGTAGTACCTGCTTTGGCAGGGTTTATATTCCCTGCTAGGCAATCCGAGAGGCGCAGCAGCCCATTAGAGTCAACATCTTGGCTGCAAGCCAAAAGGTCAGAGATTTCTTCTACCTTCTAAGTCTTCGTATCTCACTCAGTCCCCGTTCGATGTACGGGGACTGAGTGAGATACGAACGGGGACTGAGTGAGATACGAACGGGGACTGAGTGAGATACGAATGGGGACTGAGTGAGATACGAACGGGGACTGAGTGAGATACGAACGGGGACTGAGTGAGATACGAACGGGGACTGAGTGAGATACGAACGGGGACTGAGTGAGCGTGCAATGATATCTTCCGCGATGTGCCCGTTCGCAGTACCCGCTTAATGGAAATGATATCTCCCGCGAAGCAAGCCGATAAGCACAGACACCCAATGGTGGTATCGTCAGGCTGCAGTCCTTCCTTCAGCATCAGCGCATACAGCTCCATAGACTTGTTGTGATCCACTTGCGCAGAAATAGCAAGGAGGAAATTGAGGATGTCTGTGCTTGCTGGCATTCCCTCGGCCCTCCTCCTGTGATAATCCTGCAGTGCGTTATTGAGGCTGTGTGATGGGAATTCATGTGTTTGAGGAGAGGGGAAAGCAGGGGTTGAGGGGAGGAGGAGGGGGGGGAAGAGGGGAAGAGAAGGAAGGGGGGGGGGGGGGAGAGGAAGGGAGGAGGAAAGAAAGATAGGAGAGAGGAGTTGGGAAAGGACGTGGCAAGGACACCCCTGTGTCAGGGTAGAAGAAAGGATGAGGCGACACCAGAAACAACAGCTGCAGCAGCGGGCTCACAGAACCAAACCAGCGGGCTCACCGAACCAAACCAGCGGGCTCACCGAACCAAACCAGCGGGCTCACCGAACCAAACCAGCGGGCTCACCGAACCAAACCAGCGGGCTCACCGAACCAAACCAGGGGGCTCACCGAACCAAACCAGCGGGCTCACCGAACCAAACCAGCGGGCTCACCGAACCAAATCAGCAGGCTCGCAGAACCAAACCAGCGGGCTCACCAAACCAAACCAGCGGGCTCACCAAACCAGCATACTGTCTGCGTCTGCTGCTAGATCAAATGATTCGATGAGGTTGATCAGCATATCCAAAAAGTGCTTCAAACTCAGAAGCTGCTCTACCACCTGGTGGATGCACACACGCACGCACGCAGAACAAACAAACGTTGTGAGGGGTGGTGGGGTTGGGAAGGGTGGGGTGGGGGGCATTTGACAACTATAACCTGGACAAACGTTGTTGGGGGTATGTAATGTGAAACAGGTATAGACATGCTATGTGTCCCCACTCGTTTGAAATCTGAATAAACCACGACAAGTTTCGATTTCCACTCACCATCCGTCCCACCCACACTCCCACTCCCTTCCCCTCCCCTCGTATCCTCCCTCTCGAATGAGCCAGGTGACTTTTAAGTCGACTCAAAATACACTCCCATTCCCTTAGCCTCCACCCCCTCCCCCCCTCCTTTATCTCGAATGAGCTAGGTTGGAATAGCATCGACGAGAACACATGTGACGCTTGAAAAGCTACTTGTGAATGGGAATAGCAGGATACCAATTTGAAGAGCCGCAGCTACCAACCAACACGGACACACACATATATAGAATGCATACATATAGAAATACATTTATATAATACATATATAGAATATCTATATACTCACCTCACCTCTTCACGAATTTTAGGCAAGTGCCAGCTGAGAGAAGGCGTGTGTTACTCCTGAGGTGAGATCTGCATTTGACACAAGAATATCCCACACACTCACCTCTTGATCGATTTTCAGCCCCGGTGTCCCCTGCAGCACTGATGACGATTGCGCATTTGTGATTCTGATAGGTCGATTTTGGACGACCCGGGGGACAGGGGAGAAGGAAGGGAGTAGGCGGGGGAGGGAAGTGGGGGAGGAGGAAGGGGAAGGAGGTGGGGTGGTGAAGAGGGACGAAGGAGGAGGCGAATATTATAAAGAATGGAGAGAGGGCAAATGGGTTGAATAAAAGGACAATACAGAGAGCGTTAGTGAGTTAATTGGGCACAACAACTGAGGTAAGTTCTGCACGCATCCACGCACAGTGCTAGTTGGGCAACACAAAGAAAGAAAGGAAGAAAGAAAGAAAGAAAGAAGAAGAAGAAGAAGAAGAAGAAGAAGAAAAAAAAAAAAAAAAAAAAAAAAAAAAAAAAAAAAAAAAAACGCACCAACTGGTAACTAATATCGTCAAGCCCACCCACCCAATCCCACCTGTTGTCAGGAGTGCGGAAGGTTTGAAAGTTCTCCTCCAGTGATAGGCCTGCAAATGCACACAGCTCCTCCAACTGATCCCTCGCCTTCAACAGCTTCTTGTGCGCCTGGGTGCCGGGAGGGAGGGATGCAGGCAGGCAGGGACGCAGGAAGGAGGAGAGAGAGACACGGGCATGGGGTAGTTTGTAGGCGCCTCAAGGATTGCCCCGTCACTGGTACGAGGGAGGTGTGAGAGTGGAAGAGTGGTCTGCCTGTGAGAGGCCTGCAAAGGACGTCTCCAGCTCATCCCTTGGCTTCAGACGCGTCTTGTATTTCTGGTGGCCAGCAGGGGTGCAGGGAGGAAAGACATCCAGTTCATACTAGCAGGCGCATCAAATATAGCCTTACTCACCTCATCACTGGTGCTGTGGGAGAGAGATGCAGGAGGAAGGAACGGCTTGGGACGGCATGGGATGAGAGTGTTCTGAAAGCTCTGGAAACACTATTCCTTGAACGCCTGGAGGAGAGAGAGATTAGAAGGCATAAAGAGAAAACAATCTGCAAAAAAATGCCAACCTCCTTCCACCACTCACTCTCCGGTCTCTTTTCCATTTCACTTGCCATAGATCACTCACTTCTTCTTTATTCCGTATTTTCCTCCCCTTCTCCACCATCTGAGAGCCATCACCGCCACCCATTTGCCGTGGTCCTCCTCCAAGCCTTGACCCCTCCCCCATGCCCGTCGGGACTGCTGCCTGCTGTGCTGACGAGAACGACGACGATGCGGAAGTGGCGCTGATTGGTTGGATGAAATCCAGAGGGATGAAAGGGAGTTCAGCGTTTGAAGCGATGTGGGGGTTGATGGCGTGGGGGTTAGTCGCTGAAGATGGAAGGATGTTCCGAAGGACATGGTCACCAAGACGGTGGAATGCGATAGTTGAAGTTGAATTGACCTTTCAGACCTTAAGGAACAAAACACTAACGATTGGGAAAGATCTGGAGTTAATTTCAGGCGAGCGTAGGGGGAGGTCAGGAGGGGAAGTTTAGATCCATTGAAGACGCCTTCTTGGTGTTAGGGTTGGTTCGCCCAACCACGGAACCTATGGCGAAAGTCTCTACGGCGGCGGAATGACGGCGAAATGGAAGCGCGTGGATGATTCTAGGTGAAACGGTGGAAATCAGCCTACGGCGTGAGAAGCGGGAGAGAAATCGAGAAGGAACCAAAGAAATGGAGGAAGAGAGAAGGAGAAGCATCGAGGATGAGATCGACGGGGGAAATTGTGGTCTGAGACCAAGGCGCGTTCGAGAAGGTTCCAGATTCGGTCTTGAGGAGTGTTCACCGAATTCGGTTCGGTTCCGTGTGCGACTCGGGGTGAAACGAGGCGCACGCGGTTACTTGGGAAACAAGTGAAGTTACGAATCGCATTTTGTGTCTTGCATGCCTATAAAACTGCTTGTACTCATTCTGGAAATATAACATTGATCAGTTGGTGATCCTGAAAATTGCTGAAGTGTGTATTGACAACTTCAAGCAGAGCTACGCACATCGTTGGATTCGGGAGATCGTGTAGAACACGATAAGCAATAGCAAGTAGACTATTGCCGACTAAGGTGCTTACGATCCTAAGACTTGGAAAAACAAAACAGTGTGAATACCTCAGGTCCTGTCTGAATTGGTGCCTGGGAATGTTCGCAACCACGGTCTTAATAGGCTCTGACGACTTGGAGCCTGACCTGACAATTGCATTCTTAAGGGGTCGCCGAGCAGACCAAGCACCGCGAGGAAAGAAACGAGGCTGCTAGACATGTGGATGATCGCGTGGAAACGGGAATTAGGGACGGAGCGACAGGTGACCAGAGGGAAATCATTTCCACATGATGTGGACAGAATGACAATGCGAGGTGAGGCGTACGGGAAGCAGAATGCGAAGAAAGCGAAAAGGAGTGAGGTAATGGGAAGGAGAGGACCGGGACCAGGTTTAACGGAAGAAGCGAATTGGATTAATAATGCGATGGTGCTCGCGAAAACTTTCTAGGTTGTTGGTGTTTCCAGTCATACCTGGTTGTTCTGCTTGGACGACAGGCGGCTCGCGTCACGCGCTGGCGAGACGCGGACACACGTCGACGACTGACTGCGGAACAACAACGCCGCCATGCCGCTGGGATTGTGGAAAACGCAGGCTATGCGAAGCAGACTGGAAGGTAGGTCTTAGAGAGGGAAATGGCTGCACTCTTATTTCTACATAAGCGGTAATCTACAGTGTGGAACCCAAGCTGTGGATGCTCAGGGCATGCGCAGTGGCCTTCTCCTACGAGAGAGGTGTTGATTATGAAGCGACGGATGAAATCTGCGACCTAAATTTTCCCGGTATGTGCTAAGGCACAGTTCGGCAGGCATTATAAAAATGGCCTCGGCGATGGGCTACAGTGAAACGACCACCCTGGAACCTTCTTTGATAAGCGCGTGAATGATTATCAAGGCTCGATATAAGCGGATCTACGCCGAGCCTGACAATAATGGAATGCCTCCCGAACAGCCCTTTTTGTGCAGGCGTTTTCACCCGACGGAAGCTTCCACGAACCCAGTTTCTCGGGCAAAGTGCCCATTTTTTAATCCGCCGCACCATGCGGCCTCGAGGCCCCGCACCATGCAGGGTAAGTGATTCGGGGCATTAAACAGTGTCTGGTCAAATATCTTAGCCAATCACATGATCGCGCGATCCATCTGAGAAACTGCCTACCATCTTCTGCGAAACCAAAATTTCGTTTGAATGCCCCAATAAATGCCAACCGAACAGTCAGCCCGTTTTTTGAAGGTGCACCCCAGCTACTGTCCGATTTCGAAGCTGTTTCCAAAAAATGCCCATGGGGAAATTTTTTGGGGGCCCGTTAAAAATGCCCATAATGGCCATAATGCCTGCCGAACTGGGCCTAAGTGTCGCCCTCGTTCGTAAACAAGTGGAGATGAAACACGTCCTCCCTGTTGTTCACGCCTCTTCTCGAAACTGATGGACTCAGAAGATCTTGAAACTGAACACCTGGATTGGCCAGATGCAGCCACGCATGGCTGCCACAAATCCTCGTCCTCCGTCCCAGTTCATTGGGTGTGTCACATTATTACTGGTTATCCTCGTCAGGTGAGGAGTTCGCGCCTAACTATACCCAATCAACAAGCACGAGCCTTGATAGTACAGTCACCAATCACGGAACTGTATCTGCTACTCCTTTGAATTTGTTCCCAATGCCACGTCATCGGACATTCTATGACTTGAAGGGTGGTTACAACCATTTTTCCTGCCCGCAAAGGCCATTCTGAAGACTATTGGAGGAAATGTACCATTTGTTCCGCTGGTGGGTGGCTATATCGGTAGCTGTGTGAGGTGCCATCCAGTGATTTGCTTCTTCGGGAAATACGAGTGATAGGAATTGAGCTTCCCATTCGGATGATGAACTCTCCGATTTTTCCGTATTTCTGGACTCACAGAAAAGGGTACTTTCTATCTCGTTACCAGGCATTCAAAAACTTTTCCGTTTTGTGGCCCCCCTCCACCTCACTTCCCTCTCACACTCTTACTGCTCTTGCCCACTCTTCCATCCATCATTCTTTCTCTCTGTCCTCTGTTCTCTGTTTCCATTCTGAAAATGACCTAGAGCTCTGGAAGTAGTTATTTTGTTTCTAGAACCACCCCGGAGGCGGACTTGAATGCAGTAATTGGAAGTCTATTAACTTCTCCTTTTTAGACGTGCAGAATCTCTATTGTTTGTTCCGCGAGAGAATTCATCGCCTTATAGCATTTCACGTCCGTGCCTCACAGCAGCGGTAGCCATGGCGCAGGTTCTACGGTTCGGAGCGCTCTCCATCCACAGCGCAAACATCGCGACAAGACCTTTCCAAACCGCCAATTTCGCTAGACCATCTTCGCGAAAGTTCGCACGGCGATGCGTGCGAGTGCAGGCGAAGCAACAGGACGACCTACCACCATCGGAGATGACCTACCAGAACGCGCTGGACCTGCTGGGGGTGAGGGAGGGAGCGACGTTCGACGACATCCTGCGAGCGAAGAAGCGAATTACAGACCCAGGCACCGCCGATCAGGAGCTTCTTCTGAGGGTAAGCACTGGTTCTTTTGTAACGCTGTTTTTACAGAGCGCTGATACTCCCGGTAAGAGGTCTCATTTGCAGGTTGAGTCGACTCAAAATCCATAGCGCTATCAATGCAAAGCGCGAAAACATCAGGTAAGAGGTTTTTTTCGCTGGGAGGAATTGCGACGTGTTGGACAATCAATTGAGTATTTTTCAACCAGGTAATATTCCCTCTCGTGAGACGGAAATTGAGGACTTTCGGGATCAGATTGAGGAGCATCGCTCGTGACAAAAGAGATGTTCCAGTAGTCTTTTGTGAAACGGTCATGTCAAAACGGTCATGTTGAACGATTGGAGAGGTAAGACAAACTTGGTAACCGCGGCTTTGTTGGTTAATGCACACTATGCTGTTTAATGAACGGTTGTTGATACGATCCAAACATGGCTTCAACATGTGGCAATTCGCGTGGTACCGTAGGTGAAACGACGACTCTCTTCATTGTTGTTGCCTTTCCCTTTCTCTTCCCTACCCCCCGCAGGTCGAAGCAGCGTGCGACATTCTCCTTATGCAGTCCCTCTCCCGGCGCCGTTCCTGCGAGGTAGCAGACAATTGCGTGCGATTCTTTCTCATTTTATTTCCTTCATTCTCTGATTCCCCTCCTACCCCCCGCAGGTCGAAGCAGCGTACGACATTCTCCTCATGCAGTCCCTCTCTCGGCGCCGCTCCGGCGAGGTCGTCGACAGCAGCGTGCGCTTCGCGGACGTGCAGAAGCCCCGCCCGCCCGCCCCGCCTTCCTGGCTGCAAAAGGCCCTCAAATCCTCGCCGGTCGCCGTCACCACGCCCAACACCAGCACCAGCAGCGGCAGCCAGGCGCTCGCCGTGCAATCCGCGGTCTTCGCGTCGCTGCTCATCTGGACGTACGCCTCGGGATTGTCGTCGGGGTCGGATCTGGGCGGGTCGTTGTACGGGCCCGCGGCGACGGGAGGGGATGTGCCGGGGCTGCAGCTGGCGCTGGCGTTTGGATGGGCGCTGTACTCGCTGCGGAAGGAAGGCGTTGGGATGGGTGAGTGGGGGTCAAGAGGTGTTTGCGTGCATGGCGGGTGAAAGGTGAAGTGAGTGCGTATGGCAAGGTTTGTGCGTGGGTGGACGAGTGTGAACGAAGACCAAATTGTGGCGTCTAGAAGTTTGTCATGCTACATAGAGGAATAATGGCGTGGGAATTGGTGAGTGTTAGCATGAGTGATTGTCCCAGACCTACCTTGGGATCGTCCCTGGTTTCAGAAGAGCTGGGGGATCATGGTCGTGGGAATGTACTGGCGTGGAAAGTATCGGACGGACGGTTTACACCCGAGTATCAAAGTAGTGTGTTGTATTGCTGTGAGATTGATGAGTGGGTGAGTGGATGTGGGGGCAAACACGCATTCTCTCCCTCTTCCTCTCTCCCCCCCCATCTATCTCCTCTCCTCCCAACCGCCCTCTCCCTTCCAACACTCTCTCTCCCCCCACCACTCTCTCCGGCATCAGGGTTGGTAGCATCAGAATTGGCAGCGTCAGTAGAGAAGTTATTGGGGAGCAGTGGTGGAGTACTTTATGGCACTTGGATCCTCAAAGGTCCATCCTCTCTCTCTTTCTCTGGCTCTCTCTCCCTTACTCTCCCACTGCTGACAGGCAAGGCAGTGGGGCTGTCAACAGGGGGGCTCGTGCTGGGAGCAGTGGTGGACAGTCTGGTGCAGGCCTGGTTGCAGTTCGACATCTCCCCCCTGCTCGGACGTGTCCTAAAGTCCCACTCTTTCTCTCTCTCTCTCTCTCTCTGTCTTATTTTTTCCCCCTCACCATTGGCAGGCAAGGCAGCAGGGCTGTCGACAGGGGGGCTTGTGCTGGGAGCAGTGGTGGGCAGTCTGGTGCAGGCCTGGTTGCGAGTCGACATCTTTCCCCTGCTCGGCATCGGCTCCCCTGCCGTCCTCATTAGTGAATTCTCCATTATCAACCTCTGGCTCGCCGCTGTCTTCCTGCGCTGATCTCCCTCAAGTGAATAACTTCCCAGTGGCAGCTGCACGGCGCCCTTTCCTTTGGGCCCTTGCTGCTGTCGTGGTTATACAGGAAAATCGTGCTGGTTACTTGTGTGCATGAAGAAGCTGGCCTTATGCCAGCTGGTGTAGCGGTGCCCAGTTAGGCAGATATAGCCGTGTGCTTGTTTGTGATAAGTGTGTGCTAGTTTGTGCCTCAGTGTGTACAGATACTGCATGGCGATGCTAGGAAAAAACCCTCCCCTTTGCTGCCGAACCATGTTGTGTGTGGGATGGGAGTGTTTTATTATGGAAGCTCTGTTGTGGAGCCATCTTGGTGTGCGAACATGTTCCCTTGTGACAGGCTCCACTATGCAGCATATAGAGTAGCCTTTCTTGAATGGCACGAAATGCTTTAGCTGCCTCGCTAATCAACCATACGGTACGCGTACACCTCTACAGCCAGGTGTGACCCATGGCCATGCTCTTAGTGAGTGCATGAGATTCTTCCTCACCAGTGTTGGGAACAAACAATCTTAAGCGCCTCTGTCGTGTCGAAACACCAAGGCACAAGCGAAGCAGAGCATATCGAGGCACCAGCGAGTCAACCCTCGGAGGTTGAAGTAACCGCTGGAGGTTACGCGAAAGTCAAAGGTCAGCGACCTTTGACTTGACAAATGCAGCGCGACAGCAAGGACACACAACTGACTCGACATTGAGCAGTTGCCCGAGTCGCACTGTATCGAACCGCAACAGTAAAACAGTTTAATTATATCTCTTCGTATTCTTTGTACTCTTATATAAACCTTTGTACTTGCTTGTTTTAATCAACTTACTTTGCCCTCACATACCAGCGCAAGGTGGTTCAAGGACTTCATTTAAACGCTTCCGCTACTACATCACTCTACCCAGAGTTTAACCCTACCAAAGATCCTAAGGGGCACTCAGCCCAACATGGTATGAGAGCTGGTTAGGGTTAAAATTATTTCTCCTTAACACCTAATACACCAAGAGACATGTCTACCAGAAAGGAGAGGAGCTCCTCCAACGGCTCTCCTGGTACTACTCCTACTCCACCTCCTGCCTCTGGCCTACAGACAGAGGAAGGCACAACAACGAGACCGGCAGCTGGGTCTACTGAAACACCCGCAAACCAAGGCGCGGGCTTCGATCCAAGCATGATGGAGAAGTTCTTCTCCTTCATGTCCTTCTACGAGCAGCATCAGCAAGGAGCACCTGCGCAATCAAACAACAGCAACAACAACAACAACGTGACGCCCATGAGTCTCGATGGCTCATCCTACGCACGCGGGAATCAACAACAGCAACCTACCTTCGCTCCGTACGAGCCCCAGCGCGGCTCCGTCAGCTTCATGCCACAACCACAACCTGCACCGGGACAAGAGAGAACGCTGGACGCACTACAAGTTCAGTCGCAGTTCGCGCACGTTCTAAAACTGCAAACGACAAAACCCTTCGACGGGAAGGATTTCTTTACCTGGTCGTTCGAATTCGAGCTGATGATGGAAGGAGCGCAAATCCTTGGCTTCTTCGACGGG